TTTTCTCTTTATTCTTTGTCTTATCTCTTGCTTCTCTCTTTTTACCTATATTTCTTCCCTCCTACTCTTTTTTCGTGTTTGATCTCGCTCCCTCTCCTTTCTGTTCTTCCCTTCTTTCTTCTTCTTTTTTACTCTTCTCTCCCATCTTTCTTTTCTGTATATATGTTATACCATTTCTATAATGTTCTCTTTAATTTCTTGTGGGTGCGTTGTATATGTAAATTTTGGCGATGGAGAGAAAATTGATATCAATATTTTACTGATTCTTTACTGTTTGAGAGTTGTTTTAAATTGTACCTTTTAAAATTCTCTTTGTTCGCTTTTCCGTTTGTTCGGTCATCAGTCTGAATTTGTGACCGAAACGAGATTTTTAGCAAACTTTTTTCAAAGCCCGTATGTATTCCGTTGGGAGCTCTTAATTTACGAGAAGTAAATTTTACTTTTGAAGAGGTAAAATTACTTAAAGAAAGGGGATAAAATTGGCTCCCACGTTCCTTAAATGTATAAATAAATTAACTCTCTCAAGACTCGTCCTTTGCCTCTTCTAGTGACAGCAATAATTTTCGAATTTTTTAAATATCTTCAATAGTTATCTTTTATTAGCATATATTAATATTTTAATTTATGTATGTATACTTTATCTATGTATAAATAATCGCTTTATTAAGTTAGACTTTCATACTGTCCTAGTGGTGTCGTTTTATCGACTTGGATTTTCATAGGCATATATTTTGTACAATCCTCTATTGTTCCAAACATCGTTTTGGTACTTTCTTTTTTTAATTTAGAAAAACCTTATCATTATTAACATGAGTGTTGAAACCTCAAATAAATGTGTAGTTTGCATCTCTGAATTCTTATTTTATTCATGAACACGAAAATAGTATAAAATAATCCCGTCTTTCTCCCTCAAGAACATTTTTGCAATGTTTTTGTAACATTGCTTTTTAATTATTTAATCGATATCGCCTCTCTCACACAAATCAATATTAGTGTTGGGAAATGACGGAGTATGTTCTTTCGAAAATGGTACCACTAAAATATGAACGAAACATTTTCTTCAGAAATTGAGCTTGCAAAATATAATTCTAAAATGAAAGTAAAGGATAGGAAAAGAAAGCATATATAAAAGGAAGGAAGAAACTTAGGAAGACAGGTTATATCCTCTTATGGTAATCAAGGAACTTGTGTTCGTCACTCCTTCATGGTCAGACCCCTTCCGGTCTACTAATCGAGAAAAATGAGGTCCTTTACCGCATGTGGCTCTCCTAGCAGGAAACATCATTTTTTGCGGTTCCATCCAGAAGATTCGACGTATTTTTCTAAACAACTCGAGGGGGTTTGAGATCACTTGCGGAGATTATCACTAGCTAATTCGTTTCCGTTCGAAAAGGAAAAACCTTTTGACCCAATTCATCGCCGGTTACCTGCGGGTTATTCTGAAAAAAATGCTAGAAGAAACGTGTTTCGTTGGTTTAAATGCACCTACGAGTACATTGATGAAACATATGAATTACTTAACTCTCTTTCCGGTACTCACACCATTCGTTCCATCATTCATGCGATTGATGATAATTAAGCCTAATTTTGCGATAAAGCAAAAAATTAAATGTTTTAATCAACACTTTATCACATAACTTTTTATGACTGAAAATGAATGAGCTAGGGAACTGTATAATACTACGTATTCAATGTATTTAAATTATGATCTTATAAAACACAAATAGAACTTTTTAACAAGAAATATAACAACATAAATACTGCCATTGGCATCATTCCATGCTATTAGGAATGAAATAAGTGGCTTTTTAAAGGAGAACAATTGGTATTTCAAAAGATCACCTACTCGTAGATTGTGTTTACATAACGTTTTAACACTACTTTGTTGGCTGAGTTAAAGTATTTTCAGGGGCCATGGCCAGTGTCATTTTCGAGTAAACAATAAATGTCTACAGGTCATGGTGAAGGAAATTTGTGGGCCACCATAGATCCGCAAGAAAGGTAAGTTTATAACTGTTTTCAAGTACACGATTTTGTTTTATTCGATAAGTGATTTCTTTGAAGGCTGAAGCAACAACTAAAAGGTCTTATAGTACATTGAAAAAACAAGAATAACACATCCTTTATTCTTGCATTCAATGAAATAATCTAAAATATATTTTTTCATTGTCTTCTAATAGCTCCATGAGAGCTGGTTAGAAATAAATTTGTGTGAAAAATGTGTTATTAGATATATAACATTTTATGGTAATATTTTTAATGGGTAATTACATTTATGGATAGTTAACTTTGTTGGACAGATTTTTAAAGACACATGTGTTTCTTCAGATGCCGCGAGCCACCTTTTTTACTAACGCGCTGGAGTTCGTCAGGAGAAGTCAAAGTACAGGTAAATGTATTAACACAGCACAATGATTATGTGGTTTCCGCAAGTAAAATTCTCATAATGATTAGGTACATTTGAAAAATAGTGTATATAAATCGTTTGTAAATCACTGGAATACATAATGAAAACGAATTCAACTAAATTGTTTTAAATACACTCAATTAAAATGGTAAAATCAATGTGCTTGCTGACATCTGAAGCATACATGACCTCATGAAATGTTTGAAAGATCAATTATCTTAAGAAACAAAATTTTCAATTATAAAAACTTATACGTTCTGTATATCCCGCCGTTAATTCAAATTGCACAACCTTTCATAAAATCAAACGTAATAGAGTAAACTTAAGAAGTAATTGGTATGACACATGCACTCAAATAATTTCTACAAATTCGTTTATCTCAATGCTGTATGTATAACGTGCAATATTGCTGATCGATTTACCTGGACATGGTATCAATTCAGTTGTTAGTACGAGAAAATAGTAGTTTTGTAGTAGTTTTATAAATGCAAAAATACGCTATTAAGAATTGACATTAACATTCATAAAAAAGCAATAACACAACTGAACATTTGAATTTGAAGAGGAATCTGGTAATAAAAATACAAAATTATAACTGTGTTTTTTACCTAAAAAAATCTATATGGGCACCCAAACATAATTTACATTCGAACAGTAGGTTAGAATACGTAATAAGGCATGGGTATTGTATAATGTTTTAGGGTGACACTAATTAAACCGTCATACATCAACCTGTAAATACCAGCTTCTTTCCGTACTTTGACATTGTCCATCAATGCTGCTATACTAATCTGATATGAGCCTTTACGGTGCCTCGCGTGTTCTACATACAAAAGGCTGAAACAGGCCTACGGGCCTCCGACAGCTGAGGAGGTGGTTGGTCCAATCCCCGAATACAAGGATGAAGACAAGAGAACGGAGAGAGATTTGTGATGGGGGCGGGATGGAGAGCTCGCTGAGAGGGTCTTAATGGCTGAAAAGCGACTTGATAAAAAAATAAGTACTACAAATTCCGTGGTGGTAGCAGATATCCTGTGGTAATCGATAATATGGTAAAGGAAATAATCTCCACAAAAGTTTACTTTTTAAACTTTACTACATTTAACATTACTACTTTAAACTTAACATAATTTTGTGGAGATTATTTCCTTTGCCATATTATAAGTACTACAGTAATGGAAACCTTTCATAGTGCCCTTGTAGCAAAGGTATTTAGAAAGAATGTATGTTTAGAGGCAAGACACAAGGAACTGGAAATGCTCCGATGTCAAAAAAGCAACTGGAAACAGCCATGTCTTATGTTCTTTAGATCAACCATGGTACAGTATCCCCAAAAATACTTTTAATGAAAGTAAAATCTCAGTTCTTCAAGATGGCAAGGAAAAAGTTTGGCCCTTACCAGACTAATTTTTTTAATAAAATAAGTTTAAATTAGTGCAGGCTCTTATGAATAAACTTCGCGGGCATAGGTTTATTTTAATTTTTGAACAAGTTATACGGTGAAGGTACCATTTTCTTTTATTGAATACGTAGTTATGGCTTTGAGGAATCAGATAATGTTAAACGTAACATACCTCTCCGGGCATCTGGGAAGTAATTTATAAAAAAACTGCTTCGAAATTCATTGCAACCAGACTGGCCCTCGGCCAAGGAGGAATCATCCTATTTCTAGCACTGTTTCTCTTGGAGGACGAGTGACAAGTGACCTAAATTAAAATTTTACATCTAACACAACTACTGACCGTTTGCCGATAATTCGTTTTCAATGCAAATAATATGGACTGAAATTCAACTGAGAAAGAAAGAAAAGTACGAAGCCGATGCCAACCTAACCTATATTAGGTATGGTTAACTTATGAAAATGAAAAATCATGCGAGAGTTGTTGAGAAAATCATGCATAATTGTTTTTTCTAGAAAAACTATTGAATATTTCTGTTTGAACTATCCAAAACTAAATATTTAAATGTTCCGCTTCACCTTTGCAAACAGCTATTGTTAATATCGATGTAATAAATGGTTGAGTGTTTGAACACATCGCAAACCGTTTACGAAACCACAGCTCTTGTGCCTGCGTACTTGGGGTCTGCTGTCGCCAGCCCCAGCGCCAACGCGCCGGCAGAGTGACTGAATGAGTATTAATTTCGGGATGACAACTACTGAGTACAGATAGCATAGTACTTGTTGTACTATCCCAAGAAATTGATTTTAATAAATTATTACCAATTATTTAATATATTACTACTGCTGTCATAAGTTCAGATAGCATAGAGCTTGTTGTATTATCCCAAGAAATTGATTTTAATAAATTATTGCCAATTATTTTAATAAATAATTAACAATTATTCTTACATTATTTCCCCAAAAAGTAGGCCGAATATGCAGAAATATGCAGTAACCGTAAAATACAGCAAAAATATGCAAAATAAAATTCGTCAGCAATGCCTTATGTGTGGAGGTTTGTAAAGACAAGTGACCGTTTTCGAAGTAAAACGCGTCTGCATACGAATCCGGGCTGTAGTTCGGCGCGTAAAGCGACCGCCACGCGTGCTGTGGCAGGAGGGGGCTGAGCGCGCGGAGCGGGCCCCGGGGGCGATGGCGCCGGGGCCCGGGGCGGGGCCGGCGGGCGAGGAGGCATGGACGCTGCGACGGCTGGCCGGGCGCGTGGTGAGTCGCCTCTCCACCCGCTGGGGACAACCGGCCCCCGCCACGGGCCCCGCGCCCCGGCACCAGGGCGACTCCGCCGCCGCGGACGCCGCCTCCACCTCCACCTACAGGTAAGCACCGCCGCGACGCCACTCACGACGTCTGTTAATACATATTGTTAAAGGGATGTTGCGGTAATCTCCGACATCGTGTGATCGATCTCCATGAAAGTTAGCACATATACGTTTTTTTCACCCAGAAGGTTTATGTGTTAATTAATTTTGTTGTAACTCCACTAGATGGCACCACAGAACAAGATAGCGCATAATTTTAATTCAATTTCCATTCAAACTGTGCTCCATCTGGACTTCAATGCTGCTGAGCGTGTCCGTGTGTCGTAGGGCGAAGCTGACAGACACGGAGAGATGGAGAAAGGGGGGAGAGACTGGGTCACAGACGGAGACTGGAGAAAGATAGAGGCAGAGAAACCCAGAGAAATAGGTAGACAGACTGAGATAGAGGCAGAGAGGGGAGATAAACGATTAGACAGAGATGATGAGAGAGGGAGAGACGATGATGAGATAGGGAGAGAGAAGAAGAAAGACGGAGATGAAGGACAGAACAACGTATGTGGCGTTCCGCTAGTTATTATTTAAAAGACAATCTTAAACGACGATCTCAAAGAGTAGAAATATTGTACTGGAATGGACATTCTTTAGTCACATTTCCGATTCATTGCCATTTACGTATGGGGTTCCGCAGGATTCGATTTTAAGCAGTGTTCTACATGTAAACGATACTAGTAATATTAGTAATACAAAATACGTTACGTATAAGTTACTTATAGTAAAGCTACTATAATATGTGCGTGTTGAAATTCTAGTTAAAATATGGATGTACAATACACTAGTCTAGACCTCTATTTGCAGTTTCAACTTCAGAATTCACTTGCGTTTTCAAATGAAATATTAAAGAAGAGAAAATCAATAACAAGAGAATTACGCATTACAGTAAGCGTGAATCCCACTTGTTGAGTCCAAAGTGATCTGGGTACCTTTAGGTCAGACGGCCTCCACAAATAAAGGAAATGTATGCAATGCCTCGATTTATTTAGAGCTGCACTTGACTGGTCGTCAGTTGTTACGGTGTCATCCAATCGAAAGCTTCCACATCACTACAGTGACGTCACTATGGTGACGTTCAACTTCCCGACTGTGTGACACCGCAACAGCTGGTGTACGTCAGGGGCTGTTATATGTTTAAACATAAGAAAGCCTAACGCTCAGCGTGGGTTTGTGGTCGTCGCGCAGCCTGCCGGCCCACCGCCACCCCCGCAGCGTGGTGGCCGCCTCCGACCACAACACCACCGACTCGTCGTACAGCGCCTCCACCACCGACTCGGTGGAGGACGACGAGGAGGAGGACGAGGAAGAGGAGGAGGCGGAGGCGGAGGCGGAGGCGGGGGCGGGGCCAGAGCGCGGCGCCCAGCAGACCCTGGGTCGCGGGCGCAGGCAGGCGAGTAGACGGAGGGTCGCCACGGCCAGCTTGCTCAACCTCACGTCGAGTAGACAGGGGACGGAGAGTAGAGTTAGAAAATTTCGTGACCTGGACAGGGGTCGAAACTGATCACAATTGGCCAACAACATAAGGTGGGAAATTTCTTAGAAGGGATTGATTGATTAATTTTTTACAGGTGTGTCAACATGTAAGGTAGTTAGACCCGAAAGTACAAAGCTTTTTTATCCCGGGCAGTAGCGGTGTTACGCAAGTGGTGGGTTATTCTGTGTTCCTTTGCTGGACGTCAAGTTCCGGTGCCGACCTACACGTCGTTTAGTGCTTTTTTTCCAATCGGATGTCTCTCATCAGCTGTGCACCGCATCTGTCAGGAGACAAGCTCCAAGCTCCCGCCCGGTCTCCCGGCTTGAGTGGTGGTGTGTATTTAACTAAGGGTGTAAGGATAGGACGAGGACGAGATGATTTAGGGAATATCGGCGCACGATCCTTGGCCCTTTCTTAAGATAAAACTCTGGCGTTCGCCTAGTGCGAGCAGGCAGTACGAAAAGCGAAACTGAGATAATTCAAGGCATCACTGCTGTGCCTCTGACCGGAAGGTCCTACGTTCGAGCCCCGACGGTGGTAGGTTTATGAGTCAAATACATCCGATGTGCCGAGGAGAATTTTAGCGGCCGGCTACTCTGATCGCTGATTTGTCGTTTGTTTTTTTTTCGATCAAAAACAGGCGAAGACAGTAACGAGCCTATGCACTGATCGAAGGCAGCGACCCTAACGAACTGGTCACGGACTTGGCGCGATTTTTCCTTCCTCTTTGTTGTCTTCTTCTCACCCTTTGCTTACACACACTTTCACTCGGATACACTACACTACCTGAAATGTTGAGAAATCGGTCGGAAGCTTCGAGTTTGTCCCGAATGGGGCGGTGCCCCACTGCCGGAAGACCTGTTTGTAGAAAAAATCCGCTAGTCGACACGGGTCGACGAAAGATCTCATCATTTAGCGGGGGGAATATCATAGCAACGTCCCGTGAAAAAAACATGTAGTACACTTACAGGACTAATGACCTTAACAGCTGACGCACTCGGTATCTATAACAAACAATCTACTAGGCCCCCGAATGGTCTCGCGAGATGTGTGGTAGCGTGGTGCACGTAAGTGCAAGTGCGTGCACGTAAGGGGTTAGAATATGGCAAGGAGGAGGAAGGAAAGAGCGTCCGCGGTCCCTTTCTTAGGACCCTATGTATTGGTTGTGGAGAGCCAGCACGCGCTAGGAGCGGGCGCGGCGTTGACGCAGGGCGCGGTGGCGAGCCGCGCGGCGGCGGCGGCGCGGGCGCTGGAGCGGGCGGCGCGGCGACCAGGTTCGGCTCCTGCCCCTCCCCGCCCGCGGCGCCGCGCCACGCTTCGCCGGCCGCCGCGGCCGCCGCCACCTTCTTACGCCGCGGGCCGCGCCGTCGCCGCCGCCGCCGCCGGCTCGTCCGCGGTCCGCGACGACCAAGCGACCGGCGACGGCGCCGCTGCACCGTGCCGCCGCCGGCGCCAACCCCCCGCATGGCGGTCGGCGCACTTGCCCTACGTGCTGCACCAGCGCGCGCGCCCGCGCCGCGCCGCGCCGTCGTTCCGGCGCTGGCGTCGGTCGCCGGTCGGCGGGCGCGGGCGGCGCTGGCGCAGCGTGCCGCAGCCGCAGCCGCTGCACGAGGAGCCGTCGCGCGCGCTGTGCGCCGCTTACGCCTCCCACGCGGCGCTGCCGCACGTCCTGCACAGGTGCGCCTCCGCACGCGCACACGCAGCATTCTCGGGGAAGACGGCCACAACGGCATTGATTTCCAGTATTAGTCCATCTCGGAGACTTATACTCGGAGTAGACAGACATAACGAGAGCGATTTGGAGTATAAGTTCATCACCCGGATTTATACACGGTGTATACGGCCATAACGAGAGCGATTTGCAGCATTAGTCCATCTCCGGGACTTATACGCGGTGTATACGGCCATAACGATTTGATCGGTGTATGAATCCATCATGCGGACTTATATAAGGCGATCATGATATCGATCTGAGTGTCGGTCCAGAGCGTGGACTTATACACCGATTATAAGGCTATCACGCTTTTCGGTCGGAGTGTTAGTCCATCACCGGACTTATATATGGAGCATACGGCCATCGCGATGTAGAAGTTAATCGTGCGCCCTTGTACTCGGAATATAAGGCCGTCATATTGGTCAGAGTATAAGTAACTGATAAAGATACGAAAAAACGAACATATTCGAAGATTGGTATATTATAATTGTTTGATATTATTTAAACTACGAATATTAGCCAGATACGGTTATTTACACCATCCCTTACTCAATCATACGCACATGGAAATGAAGTGGGTTCCATCGCGCAATTACCGGCTGTAAGTTGTTACCGTGAAGGAAGATAGAATGTAGGGATAGAGAGAGGATAGTTAGGGAGAGAGCTTCGCAAAAACAAAAACGGGCGGGCGTTTTCCCACAAGCTATTCAGGGAATGCAATATTCGTAAATTCCCCTGACCTCTTGCGAAACGCATTGGTGCGTGTTACGCATAGCAAACGATCCGATCCGGGAATATTATGCGGCGCGCGTACCTGTATCGGGAGATGAACGCCAACTTCTCGACCCGAAACACGCGTCGGCGAATAATGGGATCTCAGCGGGGGATTTAATCGATGCGATAACTGCCAGCGTTTCGTTTCCGATGACCGCTTTCATTAGAAAATGAGCCTCACATCCCAGGGGAGCGATTCCATTGCTCGCATTCTGTGGCCGCCAGAGAAGAACAGAAATATCTAAATATTGTTTCGTAAAAGTCGTTTTAAATTTAGAACGTATGTTATGTTTTTCTGTCTTCTCAGACCAAAACATTTACTTCTATTATCGTTTCTATTTTTCTGGTTTTCAATAATTTCTGAAGGCGTCTGCAGGGAATAGTTTCGAAGATCCGACTTACATTTTTTGTTTTTGTCGATAAAATGGTAACATTCAACATACAATTGTATAAAAAGAATAATTTATTCGAAGTCTATGAACTCTGTGAAACCCTAATCTAATTTGAAATCACCCCCTAAATTTAAATTATTAAATGTGAGATATACTCTAGTGTTTCTAAACATTAAAAATCTGAGACAATCTTCGTTCTCGTGCATTCGGTGTGGTTCGTTGGTTAGCAGCTCTCTTTCCCAAGTTCGATTCCCGGTCAGAGCAAAAATTAATTGTGCTCTTTCCTTGCAATATCCCAGTATCTGTTGATGTGTGACGATGAGAAAGCTCAATTCTCAGGTTGAGAGGACCAGAATACAGCGTAGGGATGGCTATGTGCTAACCACACGTCCTCTTTAACTCATGGCCGCGAGGCCGGGACACTGCTGGTAGGCCTTAGCTCGTAAAGAGCTGTTGTGCCAAATATATACATATCTTCTTTCTCAGGATACAATTTTGCTTTCTTTTAAATTACGTTTATGTAAAATGAAACACTACGAATTTTGAGATTGCATGTGTTACTTCTTGGCTACACTAATTATGCTATCCGTGAAATACAAACTACCGATGTCTGATTTTAACACATTTTACTTACGTTAGAAATCACTAATGGGAGAGAATGTCAACGGAATGCAGTAAATAATGCTACTTCTAATAACCGCGTAACGTTTTTTGATCCATGAACTCCCTTTCCCGTCCCTTGAGCAATAAACAGTTGAAAGCAAAAGCTCGCAGTGAGCACAGATGACATTCCAAACACGGAAACTTCGTTAGCGTAAAACAGAAGCGAGTTGCTTTCGAAAACGAGAACTTCTCTTCGTGTTCTTTGTCGATAACACCTAAAGAATGGGTCAAGGTTCTTCACAAGAGACAAGTGAAACTTCTGATAAGTTAAGAGGACGTATGGTAGCGGAGAACGCAAAATTATCGAGTAAGTTGCGAATGCATGTAAATTGGAAAAGAAGAACAAGGTTTTGATGTAACCTCAGACTGTAACTTTAGGTCTGGATTATGTGCAAACTGGAGCATGTATTTCCAAGATACGTAGAATAAAAACAAGAGCTAATGACCCTTTGCAATCCCCAGAAACGCCTGGTAAGAAAAGGCAATACTCAAGGAAACCTATTCATCGTACTCTATATAACTATTTTTTAAATTTTATTTCCATCAACTTTCCACATATATTCAAATGAAAGATTGATTTTTAGTATTTTAAGTAATAATTGTTTGTCTTATTAGTTACTATTTAGACTGACACAGTTGATAAGAAGAAAATCATTATAATAAAATAAGATTTGTCACGCCAGGCAAAGAAATCAATGTGCTACCCAAGCCAAGAAATTAACCAGTACATTACACAATACAAAATGTGAGGGTCTATTTTAAACACGAATCTGAACATCTCTATCAAATGTGTGTGAAAGCAAAGATTAATTAAGCGATAATGAAAAACTTCTGAATATATAGAGCACAAATTTTAGTATTGAATTATTTCCCAAATTATTTCCCTGGCCACACTAGGATCGACTTTGATTTTCCAGATGTTGGCGTTGCTTCAAATACTGTAGTGGCCGACTTTGTAATTTATAATCCCACCCTACCCACATTTATACAATTCATCGATCAAACAAAGGTGCGCGAATATTAAATAGCAATATCTGTAATGTAATTCTATTATTTTCTGGCAAGGTCATATATTTTGGACATTTCCTTCCCTTGTGGTTCTCTCTGCGGGGTTACAGGAAGCCAGTACCTTTTAAAACACTGGTTCACCATTCATTAAGTTCTCAAAATGCTTGGATTGCACAACTGTTATCTACATCGACAGATATTAACAATAAGATTCAAATGAAAAGTTTTCAACGAGTCTACGGGCAGGCGTGGCCGTGACAGAATGCTGGAGTTTTCTTGAAACGATTACAGTCAGGGACGTTTTCCAGTTGTTTTATAAACGTTGAAAGACGAAACTATCACTTTGGGTTATAAATATTCTATTAATAAAAGTCCTAGACGATGAGGTATTAACTCCCTACCTACCAAATGATAAACTTAAAAAAATACGCTGAGGTCATTCCTATGTACGCCTTGGGGCGCTAAAGAAAACAAAAGGCTTGAGCAACAGAACCACAGGTGACCTTCATTACAAATGAATTCAACCCCCTCCTTTACGGGATTACGGGTGCCTCAACGGCTAAGGTCAATAGTGCCGTAAGTGTATTGCAGGTTTTCCCCCCTCGTAAAGTTGCTGTGATCGTGCCCCGCTGGATGGCAAGATCCGGCCCGATCTACCCGTGTGCTAAAAGTGGTTTTCCCCAACCTGTTATCTCCCACCCTGGGAGCACCGACCTTTTCGGGACAACCTGTAAACTCCTGATCGGTTTCACGGGTGTAGTGCATGATAGTGTAAGTGCGTGTAAGTAAGGGGTGAGGATATAACAAGGAATAGGAAGGACAGATAGCGCGCAGTCCGTGGCCCGTTTGTGAGGGTACTGCTCCGGCAGTCGCCTGGTGTTGATCGGAGAAACCACGGCAAACGTAGCCGGCCGCTAGAGTGGCAGTTGCAGTGAGGCGCGCTGTGCGCAGGCGCGTGCCGCCGGCGTCGGTGATGGCGTCGCCCTGGTGGCGCAGCATGGAGGAGAACTCTCCTGCCTTCGCCGCCATCTCGCAGCGCTTCCACGCCATCGCGCACGCGCAGGTAACACTCGCAAAGTGCTACGCGCGTCAAAAAAAATATTGAGAGAGAGATATAGAGAGATTGATATAGAGAGATTGATATAGAGAGATTGATATAGCAGAGATTGATAGAGAGAGAATTGATAGAGAGAGATTGATATTGAGAGATTGATAGAGAGAGATTGATAGAGAGAGATTGATAGAAGAGAGATTGATCAGAGAGAGATGATAGAGAGAGCATTGGAGTAGAGAGAGATTGATAGAGAGAGATTGATAGAGAGAAGATTTGATAGAGAGAATGATTGATAGAGAGAGATTGATAGAGAGAGATTGACTAGAGAGAGATGAATAGAGTAGAGATTGATTAGAGAGAGATTGGTAGAGAGAGATTGATAGAGAGGAGATGATTAGAGAGAGATTGATAGAGAGAGATTGTATTAGAGAGAGGATTGATAGAGAGAGATTGATAGAGAAGAGATTTGATAGAGAGAGATTGATAGAGAGAGATTGATAAGAGAGAGATTGAATAGAAGAGAGATTATAGAGAGAGATTGATACGAGAGAGATTGATAGAGAGAGATTGATAGAGAATTGATGGAGACGGAGAGAGATTGATGGAGACGCAGGATTTGCATGGAGAGAGAGATGATGGGACGGAGAGATTGATGGAACGGAGAGATTGATGGAGACCGACGAGATTGATGGAACGGAGAGATTGATGGAGACGGAGAGAAATTTGATGGAGGACGGAGAGATTGATTAAGAGGGAGAGATTGATAAAGAGGGAGAGATTGATAAAGAGGGGGAGATTGATAAAAGGGGGGAGATGATAAAGAGGGGAAGATTTGATCAAAGAGGGGAGATTTTGATTAGAGGCGGAGATTGATAGAGGGGAGAGAATGAAAGAGGGAGGAGATTGATCAAGAGGGGAGAGAATTGCAATAACAGAGGGGAGAGATTGATAAGAGGGGAGAGATTGATAGGAAAACTCAACCCTTGGGGCTTCGTAGGCTTCGGCGGTATTCTGCACGTTTCGGCATTTGTGTTTGTGGCCTTCCTCAGAGCATACGGCAGACACAGACCCGACAACACCACGGACCCCCACAAGATCATAGAAGATCTTTCATACGTTTTATCACTTTAAAGCCCGTAAAACACGAAATGTACGGCAATACTTGCGCGAATACAGAGCTATTACTGCTGCCAGATTGCGCACTTCAGACTATCAGCAGTATACCTCTTAAAGAAGGACCACCACCACGATGGCACGAAACAGTCCAGCTCCACCGGACTGGACGCGGCTCATCCCGGACAGCCAACAAATCGAATATTGAACCTTCATCTCCTGAGTTCGATTATGGCGCGGCGACATTTCCAAGGCGATTGAAAGAAAATGGCGGCGCAGTTGGCGGCTTGGCAGGCCCTGGCTTATTACAGAGTATAAATTATGACGTCTGTTCCCAAAGGGGAGCGATCTTTTGAGTTCACTTCTTATAATTTCGTAAATTAAGGAGTATATTCTTTCAAGAGATAAATCTATTTACCAAACACCTTAGAAAAATTACAAATTCCTTTAAGGTAGTCCACTTTTAAGATTCTCAAGTCTTATATGTTATACCTCTCGCACTCTTAACGCTAGTTTCTCTTTCAGCGGCGTTTTACGAAAAAACAATTGGAAATGTTTGCGCATTCCATTGGCCCAAACGCAAGAAACCAAAAATTTTTTCTATGTTTGCAGTATATTATAAAAAAAACCAAAACAACTAAAAAAAAAAAAAAATGAACTTATTGAAAAAACTGTGGGTCTCTAGGAAGGGAGGTTAACCGCAGATCTACAAAAGAGTTGACCTAGAAATATCTACCATTGTTAGTGGGAAAACAAAGACGTGAAACACATCTCGCAGTGTTACTTAGATTCTTCATCATGTTGTGCAATCCTCTCTGCCG